GGACAGTGGGGGGCTGTCTGTGGAGACATCAGTGGCCTTGAAAACACGGTGCACTGGGGCAAGCGTCTCACGACGGCTGAGTGCCCACCCTGCTGCCCGTGGGTCTCCTGGGCCCTGCTCCGAATGTGAGTGGACAGCAAGCAATTCTCCCTCCTCGGCCTCCCAAAGTGGTGGGATTCTAGGTGTGGACCATGGCCCCTGACCAAATACAAATTTTTTTTTTTTAAGACGAGAGTCTTGCTCTGTCACCAGGCTGGAGTGCAGTGGAGTGATTTCGGCTCACTGAAACCTCTGCCTCCTGGGTTCAAGCGATTCTGCTGCCTCAGCCTCTCGAGTAGCTGGGACTACGGGCGCGCGCCACCACACTCAGGTAATTTTTGTATTTGTAGTAGAGACGGGGTGTCACCGTGTTGGCCAGGATGGTCACGAACTCTTGACTTCATAACCCACCTGCCTCCGCCTCTGCCTCCCGAAGTGCTGGGATTACAGGCGTGACCATCACACCCGGCCATTCACAGCACTTAGGTGGGATTCTTTTCCCCCACCCCGTGTAAAATATTGAGCTCTCAGAACAACTTAGGAAGGACCCTGGGCCTTCTCGTCTGGGTTCCGGCACCTGAAGGTGATACGGCTTTTCCCCTGGGGCCCATCCCCGAGATGAGGGATCCGGGTGCTCGAATGACCGCCTTTCACTCTCAAGCACTTTCAAATGTGTTTTTCTACATGAGATGACGTGCTTCCCGCACACCTGCCAGCACTTTTCCCCTGCTCCGGTGGGCTTGGGGTCCACCCTGTCCCTTCGTTTCTGTCGTAGCTTCAGCTCTGTGAATAAATTATATTTGTTTCTCTTGTTGACAGGCACGTAGGTCGTAATTCTTTCGGTGTTTGCTTTGTCTTGTTTTGCTACTAACAAAAAAATGCTGCATTGAACACCCACCTCTAAGAACGTTATGAGAAGCTGTGAAGAGACTTGGCCCAGCTCAGCCTCAGTGACGTGCTTTATTAATTTTCTTGTTTTTTGTTGCTCCCTGTCACCTGCATGACCTTTGAAAGGTCGCACCCAGTCAGGCACGGTGGCGGACGCCTGTCATCCCAGCACTGTGAGAGGCTGCGGAGGGCAGATCACAAGGTCAAGACTTCGAGACCAGCCTGGCCAACACGGCAAAACCCCGTCTCTACTAACAGTACAAACATTAGCCAGGCATGGTGGCGGGTGCCCATAATCCTAGCTACTCAGAAGGCTGAGGCAGGAGAATCGCTTGAATCTGGGAGGCAGAAGTTACAGTGAGCCGAGATCGCGTCACTGCACTCCAGCCTGGGCAGCAAGAGTGAGACTCCTTCTCAACAAAGAAGAGAAGAGTAAGTGGCTAGCATCAGGAACCACAGCCGCTGATGCAGGCATGGGTGTTTTTGTGGGAGGAAGAGGAGCTGTTGCCTCCTCCTGCGGCCCTAGAGCTGTGGGGACAGGGATGCTGCCGGCCAGGACGGTCCATGGTAGTAAAGTCCTGTGGGAGGGGAGGGAATAGAGGGACCGGACAGTCACCCAGACCGAGTCAAGTTGAGGCAGGGCCATGGGGACGTGGGTTGGTGTGACGGCCGGGGCTCAGCGCACGCGTCCCTGGACTGGGCAGTTCCACTCCTGCACGTAGACGTGAACGAGGGTGCTCCTAGTAGCCTAACCCACGTGCTTCTTGGCAGAATGGGTCCATCTGTCCGGCGGGGTGCTGGGCAGTGAGCCAACAGAGAACCTGCATCCCCGGGTAGCAGCGTGGACGGGCCTTTGTTTGCAATCAGATTCCTGTTTAGCCCTTTTTTTTTTTTTTTTAACTTTTAAAAAATGTTTATAGGCAGGTTCTTGCTCTGTTGCCCAGTCTGGAGTTCAGTGGGACATAACAGGGCTCACTGCAGACTTGGCCCCCCTTGCTCAGCAGCCTCCACGCCAGCCTCCTAAGTAATTAGGACTACAGACACGCACCACCATGCCCAGCTACTTTTCAAATTTTTGTTTCTTTTTTTTTTTTGAGACAGAGTTTTGCTGTTGTCCAGGCTGGAGTGCAGTGGTGTTTTCTCGGATGACTGCAACCTCCGCCCCCAGGTTCAAGTGATTCTCCTGCCTCAGCCTCCCAAGTAGCTGGGATTATAGGCATGCACCACCACGCCTAGCGAATTTTGTATTTTTCATAGAGACAGGGCTTTTCCGTGTTAGTGAGTCTGGTCTCAAACTCCTGACCTCAGGTGATCCTCTTGCCTTGGCTTCCCAAAGTACAGGGATTACAGGCGTCAGCTACCACGCCAGACCCTTAAGCTCTTCTTTTTTTTTTTTTTTTTTTGAGACAGAGTCTTGTTGTGTCGCCCAGGCTGGAGTGCAGTGGCACAATATCAGCTCACTGCAACCTCTGCCTCCCAGGTTCAAGTGATTCTCCTGCCTTAGCCTCCCGAGTACCTGGGGTTACAAGTGCACGCTGCCACTCCTGGCTAGCGTTTTTTGTATCTTTAGTAGAGATGGTGTTTCACCATGTTGGCCAGGCTGGTCTTGAACTCCTGACCTTGTGATGTGCCCACCTCGGCCTCCCAGAGTGCTGGGATTCCAGGTGTGAGCCACTGCGCCCGGCCAGACCCTTAAGTTCTTGATGCACAGAGAACAGCAGCATTGGTGAAGCGCGATTTCTATGTTTTTGTGTCTCCACTAATTGTGAGCGAACATTGGGGTGGGGACTGGGCTGCTTGTGCGAGGCCTATGGGCTTCTTGGTGGGAGCACGTTGGCAGAGAGGGGACTGGGGCCCTCACTGCAGGAAGCAGTTTTGCCTGGAATGCTGTGAGTTTCTCAGATGGAAACTAAGTAGACAGACTGTTCTGGCAGAGAGCGGTGCTTGGCCAGCCACATGTGAGCTGGAAGACACTTGTGCTTGAACTCAAGGTCCACCTCCCCATCAGTGCGACATGACTGGCCTCGTCTGCCCACGCCCGAGCCCACGTGCTGCTGATCACTGATCCTGGGGGCAGTTTCTTGAGCGTCAGCTCCTTGCCACATGAGTGAATTTGCTTTGAGAAACTCACCGGTGGCCGCAGAGTCTATGTAGCAGGTGCTATGGCAGCTACCCCAGCTAGGGAGGCCCTGGTGCAGCGGCAGCCTTCCAGGTGGGAGGGAGAGGGCGAGCTGGTCTAGTGAGGTGAGGGGGTGTGAGATGGAGGCCTGCACCCTGGGCCCCACGGGATCAGCTCCTGCAGGGCAGCCTGAGGCCCGGGTGTTCCGGCCTTTTATTCTGCCGCCCTGCAGAGCCCTTTGTTCTTGGATTCTCACCTAAGCCAGGTGGCTGTTCCACCCGCAGCCAGGGCCCCTTGGGAAATGGGCACAAAGTCTCCTACCTCCCTGGCTCAGGGCCTGGCCTGTCCTAGCTCCAGGGAGGCTTTGCTCCCAGCTCCTTGTCACCCCACGCTAGGCAGTGGGCGTGTGCTGCTGAAAAGGAGAAAGGAAATGGTGTCTTTGTGGAGATCTGGTACCGTAATTGGCCAGAGGAGTGGAGGAGCCCTTTGTCACTCTGGGACTATGGGAACTGGAGGAGGGGACAGCCTCATCCCCACTGATGTCTGCGGTGCCCTGGAGGCAGCTATCCTGGTGCACCGAGGGGTCAGGGCACACGTGGGTGGCTTGGGAGCGTCTGGGTGGCACTGAGCAGGTGGTGTGATTGGCAGACAGGGAGCCCTGGGTACATAGACACACAGAGTAGAGGGAGGGGAGGGGAGGGGTTGGCCGCAGGGGCCCTGGCCTTGCTACCACTGGGGAGCACCAGTTCCCAGGTGTGGGGAGGCCGAGATTCAGGCACCTCTGGGCACTGCTGGGTAGGTGAGCCGGGAGCTGGCGGGAAGGCCGGCATGAGCACCTGGGAGAGGTCTCGGCCAGGGAGGGGGCGGCGTGCGTCCCTCAGCGTAAACAGAATATATCTGGCGTAGCACGCACGCACGTACGTAAACATAGAAGGAGATCGTGGGTGAGATGGGAACCCCAGCTTCCTGGGGGCGAAAGAAGCGAGAGCTGGAGTGGCCCCGGGTCGGGCAGCACAGCCCACACCACACATGCTGGGAGCGAGGTGGGGAGACACAGTGGGCAACCTTTCAGAGACACAGCCACCCCCCAAAGCAGGAAGAGAAACCCAGGTGTGAGAAGCAGGAAATGGGCTGCCTGAGTGCCGGGTTGAGACCCGAGGGAGGTGGCGCCTGCGCAGACCCTGAGCTGGAGGGAACATGCCTTCTGGTGCTCAGGAGGAAGTGGCTGTTCTGACCTGGCCAGAGCTCGTGGGAAAGGAAGGGGTGTCTCGCTTGAGAAGCCACAGTCACTGAGCGTGAGGCGGGTGTCAGTGTGGTTTTGTGCCACAGGGTCTGTCCAGAAAGTAGCACGGAGTTAGACCTGGGGCACACGGCAGAGGCAGCCACAACACCCCTCGCAAAGGCGCAGCTGCCGGCCAGGGCTTGAAGGACCTCCAGCCCCAGGTCTGCCAGGAAGACGGTCAAATGTGCCAGGAGACCATCTTCCAAGAGCAAGGATCCGCCAGCACGAGGAGAAAACGGGACTCCATTGCTAAAAATCTCTGAGCCGTGAATGATTGTATTTTTTTTTTTTTTTTTTTTTTTTTGAGATGGAGTCTTGCTCTGTCGCCAGGCTGGAGTGCAGTGGCGAAATCTCACTTGAACCTCCTCCTCTGGTTCAAGTGATTCTGCTGCCTCAGCCTGCCGAGTAGCTGAGACCACAGGCGCGCGCCACCATGCCCGGCCAATTTTTGTATTTTTAGTAGAGACAGGGTTTCACCATGTTGACCAGAATGGTCTCGATCTCTTGACCTCGTGATCCGCCCGCCTTGGCCTCCCAAAGTGCTGGAATTACAGGCGTGAGTCATGGCGCCCGGCCAAACGATTGCATTTTTAAGTGATTTTCAGTTGGTGGTTAAAATGTCCTTTGAGGACATTAAATGTTCAAAACGGGTAACGTGTTTCCTTTTCCTAGCATTGTAGCGTCTGCTTCTGTGCTTTGCCGGGGAGAGGCCCTAGTGGCCTTGTTCTGCCGCCCGGAGTCCCTGGGCAGTCTCGGTGGCCCATGCGGCCCAGCTCGGAGGCAGAGTCGTCCTGTGTGGCGGTGGTTCCAGCATGTCGCCCTCAGTGAAGACCCCGGCGCTGGGAGAGCTCGTTCCTGGCTCCGAGGAGAAGCCGAAGGGCAGGTGGCCTCTCAGCTGGGGCTCTCTTTTTGGTCACCGAAGTGAGAAGATTGTTTTTGCCAAGAGTGACGGGGGCGCGGATGAGAATGTACTGACCGTCACCATCACGGAGACCACAGTCATCGAGTCCGACCTGGGCGTGTGGAGCTCACGGGCGCTGCTCTACCTCACTCTGTGGTTCTTCTTCAGCTTCTGCACGCTCTTCCTCAACAAGTACATCCTGTCTCTGCTGGGAGGCGAGCCCAGCATGCTCGGTAGGTGGCGGCCCACGGGACGGGGGCAGCTGGGGGAGCGGCCAGTGGCCACCCGGGGGAGGGCAGGGCGGGGCGGGGCGGGGAAGCCCGGCTGGGATGGGACCCCAGCCTCTCCCAGGTGAGCCCACGAATGGGGAGCGCGCAGGCACTGGGAGGGCTGATTCCCCCTCAGCTCCGACCGCCTCCCTCCCTGCAGGCGCAGTGCAGATGCTGTCCACCACGGTCATCGGGTGTGTGAAGACCCTCGTTCCTTGCTGTTTACATCAGCACAAGGCGCGGCTTTCTTACCCACCCAACTTCCTCATGACCATGCTGTTTGTGGGTCTGATGAGGTAGAGCATGGCTTCTTTGTGGTTGAGTGTCTCGTTCCGTGTAAAATCCCTCTCCAGTTCCTAGAGTGGGGAATGCAGTGGGCTGCTGAGTTTTCAGTGCAGACTTCGTAAAAGTGTCAGGCTGTCGAGACACCAGATGAGTGTGGCTTCGTGGACCTCTCGGCCACGTGTGCTTGTCAGCTTCTCTCCGGGCTGGTCTCAGGGCAGGGCTCCTGCTTGTCTCTGGGGCGTTTATAAGGGGCGGTGGAAGTCACTTCACACCAGGTGCAGTGCGATTTCCTGGGGGTTTGACCTAATGCAAGGCGGAAGTGGGTCCAGGGACCACGCTGGGGACGAGGTGGGCGGGGCAGGGGCTGGAGGTGCCCACCGGCCGAGGGAGCTCCTCGGAGAGCCTGTCCTGTGGTTGGAAGTAGACGGACTTGCTCTAATCTAATAGTGCTTTTTCCTTATTTTTAGGTTTGCAACTGTGGTTTTGGGCTTGGTCAGCCTGAAAAATGTGGCGGTTTCGTTTGCTGAGACGGTGAAGAGCTCGGCCCCCATCTTCACGGTGATCATGTCTCGGATGATTCTGGGGGAGTACACAGGTGAGGGCCCCTGGGCCCTGCCCCCGCCTGCACCCCACCGCCCGCCTGCACCTGTGCCCCGCCGTCCAGGGCCTCACTCTGCAGTGCCCTTCTTTGCCATCTCCCGTGGGGCTCTGTGCAGGAGGCCACTTGGAGCGGGCGGTGCTTACACTGACGGTGCCTTCACTTCTCTCCTGAAACGTTCTCCGCCTGGTCCCATTCTCGGGGGTATCATGGAACTTGCCACCCACAGGTGCTCTCATGCTGGCATGCGGAGGTTAGGGCAGGGTTGTGCCTTGTGACCCTAACTGGGCAGGGAGACAGGTGGGGACTGGGCAGATTCATGGCAAACAAGATCACTGAAGATGCCGCACAGATGGCTGCGGCTCCTGGGTCCGTGGGCTCACCTGTGCCAGCACCCCACAGCCTCCCCCGGCACCCGCTGCCACGGCCTCTCATGGGCCCAGCCCTTGACCTCAACCACAACCTCGGCTCCTGCCTCCCCCACCGCTCGCCCTCCTCTCCCCCTCATCTCCCCTCCCCTCCCCCACCTCTCCCCTCCTCTCCCCTTCGCCTCCCCCACCGCTCGCCCTCCTCTCCCCCTTGTGTCCCCCTCCTCTCTGCCACCTCTCCCCCTTCTCTCCCCCATGTCTCTGTCACTCGAGGGCGATTTCCAGCATCCGCGTGCTGCATACCTAGCGTGGTGCATGAAAGAAGCCGGGGGCAGAGGCGCCCACAGCGTCCAGCATCTTGCACAGAGGGGCGGCGGTGGGGGAGGGTGTGTGGGTGTGCACAAATGTTCACTTGTTTGAGAAAACAAGATCTTAAGGCCAAGGCAGGCGTCTGCCTTCGGGGGCAGGAGGAGCCGACAGTCCAAGGCAGGCGGAGCTGGTCCCGTGTATGCTTGAGAGCCGCACTAATGTTTAGGTGATTATAAGAAAATCAAAGCCAAAAACCAGCTCCGTTTTTGTCTTTTAGTTTGTGTTTTTGGGACAGCGTCTCGCTGTGTTGTCCAGGCTGCCGTGCAGTGGTGAGATCATGACTCACTGCAGCCTGTGCCTCCCTGGCTCAGGCGATCCTCCCATCTCAGCCTGTTCAGTAGCTGGGACATCAGGTGTGCGCTACCACGCCCAGCTAATTTTGTATTTTGTGTGTGTGTGTGTGTGTGTGTGTGTGTGTGTGTGTGTGTTTTACTGTGAATATACTTTAGTCTTTTTTTTTTTTTTTTTTTTTTTTTTAAACAATTGAAACTCTGGGAATTCAGAATTAGCAGTGTTGCCTATGAGCTTCTTATCGACACCAGAAAAGGTTCCAGCCTCACATGAGTTCCACGCTGCTCTGCTGGGCTTTGTCCAGACGGACCTTTGTGGGTGCCACTGTCCATTTCACGGGTTCTCCTGCCCACAGTTTCACTTGGGAAGACCAGGTCCTCGTGAATTGCATTGTGCGTGCTCTGAGCACAGCTCCTGGCGAGTGTTTGCTTATTTTCTGTGCACCTTTTTTGAGTTGGCGAAGGCAGGCTCCTCCTCAAAGCAATGAAGACAACATGCTTCCCAACGACCTTTTCCTCCAATTCAAGCACTAGCCAAACTTGGATTTTCTGGAATGATTTCAGTGGCGGAACAAGAACAAAGATTATCATAGCTTTCTTTTCTTTGAGGTGGAGTCTTTCTTTAAGCATAGGATATGTGAAGAAAAAAGAAATGGAGTCTCGCTCTGTGGCCCAGGCTGGAGTGCAGTGGCTTGATCTCAGCTCTCTGCAGCCTCCACCTCCCGGGTTCAAGCGATTCTCCTACCTCAGCCTCATGAGTAGCTGGGATTACAGGTGCCCGCTGCCACACCTAGCTAATTTTTATATTTTTTAGTAGATACAGAGTTTCACCATGTTGGCCAGGCTGGTCTCGAACTCCTGACCTCAGGTGATCCACCTGCCTCAGCCTCCTAAAGTGTTGGGATTACAGGCGTGAGCCAGCACCGCGCCTGGCTTTAAAAAGCAGTCCTAAAAATCATGAACTGAATGACACAGAGGAACCTTACTGCCCTTCGAGCCATGCAGAAAGGAGCTGTTTATTTCCAGCAACTTTAACTTGTCAATTCGACCTCCAGCTATGGTGGATGAGATGTTAGAAAACAAGCTCCTGCTGACAACCGTGAGAAAATCTTGATATCGTTTAGCAAAAAGAAATCCACCGGGCGTTAGAGAGCAATGGAGATGCTGGGTCCTGAGGCACACAGCTTCCGGAGCCTCAGGTAGCCCGGGGAAGTGACCCCATCTTGAGCACCGCCCTCCCCGTTGCATTCGCTGATGGTTTCTGAGCAGAGCAGTCTCCTGGGGCTAGAGGGACACAAGCTGGAATGGGCGCCCACCAAGGGGACCCCCAGACTCCAGACCTTGAGCGGGGATGGGAATCTGGTGCTGGATAGAGGCGTCTGTGACACCCCAGCTGCACATCCGCGGCAGAACCGAGTCCTCCCTGAAGGGCGAAACGGCATTCACAGTTTCCAGTTCTCTCTCTTTGTCATGAGCGTTTTCCGTGATTCAACGAGAGTTTCTGGCAGAGGACGGGACCAGGTGATGGCACACGAGAGGACGTTCCTGTGGCTGGAGCCGTCCACGTGGGCCCAGGTCCCTCTGCTGCGCCAGGGTCTCGTCCAGGCCACATCGGTAGGCTTCCCACCTTCTCTCATCTCAGAGGTTTCTGTTTCTTCTTCTGAGGCAAGGTTTTGCTCTGTCACCCAGGCGGGAGTGCAGTGGTGTGATCACAGCTCACTGCAGCCTCCACCTCCCCCATGCAGGAGATTCTCCCGCCTCAGCCTCCCCGAGAGCTGGGAGCACAGGCCATGTGCCGCCACGCCAGCTAATTTCTGTATTGTTTGTAGAGGTGGAGTCTCATTGTGTTGCTCAGCCCTGTTCTCGAACCGCTGGGCTCAAGCGATCTCCTGCCTAAGCCTCCAAAGTGCTGGGATTACACATGTGAGCCACGTTCCTTGGATTTTTTAAAGATCCTTCACGTAAAAGTGTCCTGTCAAATTTCGGAAGGAAACAGGAATGAGCTCATCCTGGGTGCGTATGGAGGCTTTAGGTTTCACCCCCCGGTCCCCCTTTCTTGTGCACTGCCCGTGGGGACATACGAGTCTCCTTCACACTCATCACTTCACACACGAGCATTCACAGAACCAGGAAGGATTCCGTGGCTCTCCCGCCTGTGACTGGGGCCCAGCCTCTCCGAGACCATCTCCTGCAGCGTGAAGGCACCACCTTTGCGGGGGACGGGGCTTGTTTGCAGACTTGGGCTTTCATCTACTTTATCTTCCAGTGTGAAGAACCTGACGAGTATTGGTTTTGAATGGAGCATCCGTTCCTTTCCTAAGAGGTGATGGGAACAGCCCGGCTCAGGGGAGGGAGCTTCTGCTGCTCATGGGTGCTGTCCTCTCTCCAGGGCTGCTGGTCAACCTGTCCCTCATCCCGGTCATGGGCGGGCTGGCGCTGTGCACGGCCACCGAGATCAGCTTCAATGTCCTGGGGTTCTCGGCCGCAATGTCCACCAACATCGTGGACTGGTGAGTCACAGCGCACGGGGGCGGGGGTGGGGGGGGGTGAGAGCCAGTTCGCTTCCCTGCACTGGGCATGCAGATGTGTGAGTGCAGATGAGCGGAGATTTCTCCTGTCAGTCAAAGCTGGTCCATTCAATTCTGCCTTTTCCCACAGAGCAAAATGCTAGGTGTCCTCGTAAGGTAACTGTTTCTGAGAAACAAGCCAAAATTTCAGGCTGCACAGCCTTGATACATAAAATGCTGACCATGGAGACACAGCTGGTAAACGCTGACGGGCCGGCGTGCGCTCAGCAGTGCGTCTCACACAGTGTGGCCACCTGTGTCTTCACGCAGCCGCCTCACGGCCACAGCAGGGACGATCCCTGCGGCAACTGTTCCTGCTTTGGGAGCTGCATGGCCTCCGGGTCAGGCGGATCCTCTGCTTCCTTGGTGGCCATCTGAGTCCTGGTGTCACGATGGCAGGATGAGAAGCTGACTCCTGTGGTAAGGACGGCACGTGGCAGGGTCCCAGAGGAGAGGGCCTGTTACTTGCGTCCTTGTCACAGCAGAGAAGAGGGCTGGATGCTGCACTTGGGGGCTATTCAGATTCACCCAGAATTGAGCATCTGCATCTCTGCCGTGCTGTTAATAGCCACACTCCAGCCCTGGCAAAACCTGCCCTTTCAGAATGACCGACGGCTGCCGGGCTTCTCCTGCTCCCGGGCTTCTCCTGCTTTTGAAAAAAGAAACACCCCACCAACAGTGTCCGAGAGTTTATCATTATTATTACTAATAAGCAAAGCAGGTTCGTGGGGAGATTTTGAATAATGTAGCTAAGTAAAAATAATAATTTGCTGGGCGTGGTTGCTCACGCCTATGATCTCAGCACTTTGGGAGGCTGAGGCAGGCAGATCACCTGAGGTCAGGAGTTCAAGACCAGCCTGGTCAACATGGTGAAACCCCATTTCTACTAAAAGTCGGGCATTGTGGTGGGCACCTGTAGTGCCAGCTACTTGGGAGGCTGGGACAGGAGAATTGCCTGAACCTGGGAGGCGGAGTTGCAGTGAGCCGAGATCGCGCCACTGCACTGCAGCTGGAGCAACAGAGTGAGACTCCGTCTCCAAAAAAGTAAAAATTATAAAAAATCTTTCTTTTAACATCTCAATGCCTTTCCCTCCAGCGTCTCCTCTCTGTGTGGGTGGTTCTTGGGAGCACGGCGTGGGTCCTGTCTGTGCCATTCCGTGGGCCTGGTGTCCTTCACTCTCCGCAAGCCTGGTTTCTGTGACGGCTTCACCTACTTGAGCTATGACCTCACGATTCTCATGTTGCCAAACTGCCTCTGCCTCTTTGTATTGATAGGTAAATCTGCAGGGAACATCTTTTTCCAGAATCTATGTAAATGCCTGTGTACCCTGCAGGGCAGAGTCCAAGAAGGCCTGCAGCAGAGCCCTTGCTGTCTTGTCAGATTGTGGAATGGGGCCTGGTTCACAGTCCTGCACGCCGCACTGCCCGGCTGACCTTGTCCTCAGCTCAGGTTTTCCACTAGAGCCCGGCGCGGTGGTTCATGCCCATAATCCCACAGCTTGGGAGGCCAAGGCGGGCAGATCACCTGAGGTCAGGAGTTTCAGACCAGCCTGGACAACACAGCAAGACCTTGTCTCTATTATTCTTTTTTTATTATTTTTTTTTTTAATTTTTTTTGAGACGGAGTTTTACTTTTGTTACCCAGGCTGGAGTGCAATGGCACGATCTCGGCTCACCGCAACCTCCGCTTCCTGGGTTCAGGCAATTCTCCTGCCTCAGCCTCCTGAGCAGCTGGGATTACAGGCACGCGCCACCATGCCCAGCTGATTTTTTCGTATTTTTAGTAGAGATGGGGTTTCACCGTGTTGACCGGGATGGTCTCGATCTGTTGACCTCGTGATCCACCCGCCTCAGCCTCCCAAAGTGCTGGGATTACAGGCTTGAGCCACCGCGCCCGGCCATCTCTATTATTATTATTTTTTTTTTTTTTTTTGAGACTGGGTAACAAGAGCGAAACTCCGTCTCCAAAAAAAAAAAAAAGAAAAAAAAAAAAGAAATAAAAATAAATTTAAAAAGTGAGCCTTTCCAGTTGAAAAATTAGCTGGACACGTTGGCACGTACCTGTAGTCCCAGCTATTTGGGAGGCTGAGGTGGGAGGATCAGTTCAGCCCAGGAGGAGGAGGCTGCGGTGAGCCATGATGACGCTTGTGCACTCCAGCCTGGGGACAGAGTGAGACCCCGCCTCTAAAATGAATATGCTAATGAATTAAAATGTCTCTGAAAAGGCTCACCCCACCTCCGTTTCACACCCACAGGCAGCGTGTTGCCCTCCGGGCTCGGGTCTGGCCGCCCGTGCACCTGCGTGTCTTGTCTTCTCCATTGCCATCTGCTTTCCCTGTGGTTTGTGTGTCCTGATTTTGAGCCTTTTGCGTGTTTTTCTGCTGGGGTCTTCCTCGTTTTTTCTGTCGTGCACACACCTTGGGAATCCCCAAGTGCCTGGCTAATTTACAGGAGCTCTTTATTCAAAAAAGGGTTCTGTGAAGTGCTGGCAGGCAGGGCCTTTGGGGTCCTTTGACAGCTAAGCGATGGGTAGCCTCAGGCAAATCACCCACTCTCTGAATGCCTCGGTTTACCCACCTCTACGGGGTAAACCTCCCTATGTGCTCTGCCTAGACACCCCCGGCCAGGTGCCGGCTCAGCAGTTCAGCAGCCGCCCACTAAGATCTGGCTGTCCCACCGCTCGTGTGAGCACAGACGCCTCGTCCCCCGTGCTCTGTGCCAAGGGCTAGTGTTGATGCTTACCTTCTTCTTTTCTTTATTCTAGTTTGCAAAATGTTTTTTCAAAAAAGCTTCTCAGCGGGGACAAATACAGGTTCTCGTAAGTATTACTCATGGCTGAAATCTTCAAGTCATAGAGAGGACTTCCTGCCCACTTTAAGAATCAGGACACCCCTCAGACCTGACTCCCTCCCGCTCTAAGCTCTGGAGGGACCCACCTGGTTCGCAGCTGCTCCCTGCCGCCCCTCAGCCAGCCTGGTGCTCGTTTGCCTTTTCATTTCTGGGAAGCTGCAGTGGCCCTTGTCAGCTCGGGAGAGCGTGAACGTGCCGTGGGCCGGGTTGCCTGGGTGTGGTCCTGCTGTGAGGGAGCTGTGTGGGAACCCGGCCTCTCCGGACGCAGTGGGCGTGTTCTCTTGCCACCGGTCTGGACGCAGTGGGGACCCAGCGTGTTCTGTTGCCTGTGGTCCGGACACGGCAGGACCCCGTGTGTTCTGTCACCACAGGGCCCCGGAGCTGCAGTTCTACACCAGCGCCGCCGCAGTGGCCATCCTCGTCCCGGCCCGGGTCTTCTTCACGGTGGGTTTCATCCTTGCACGCCTGGCTGCCTTACCTGGCAGTTCAGGAGTAGACTGAATTCCCTTCCCAGGCTGTGCACCGGCTGGTCGCGCCCGCTCCGCCACGGGCGAGTTGCCAGGGAGCTGCTCAGGGTTTGCACCTCAGATTTTTGTGTGTTGTTTGTTTTGAGTCTTCATGATTCAACTTGAGAGAACTTTTAGGTTAGCTTAATTTCTGTTTTTCTTAGAAAAACGTTTTTGTTTTTAAATAGAGTCTGTTTTTGTCTCCTAGGCTGGAGTGCAAAGGTGCAGTCTCTGCTCACTGCAGCCTCCACCTCCAAGGCTCAAGCTGTTCTCCCGCCTCAGCCTCCCAAGTAGCTGGGATTACAGGCATGCACCACCATGCCTGGCTAATTTTTTGTGTTTTTAGTAGAAACGGGGTTTCGCCATGTTGGCCAGGCTGGTCTCAAACTCTTGGCCTCAGGTGATCCGCCGGCTGGGCCTCCCAAGATGCTGGGATTCCAGGCGTGAGCCACTGCACCCGGCTTCTCTTGATTGGAAACATCCTGTGCCCACTGTCGAATAGCCGACAGAGCAGATGTCAGTGAAGCAAAGCCTCGAGTCCGGCTGGTCTGTGGATCTGAACACGCGCGTCTGTCCACACGCGGCGTGGAGCTTTCGCTGAGGGATGTGTGTGCGTCTCGCAGACCTCGTTTTTCTCCACACCAGGGAACCTGGCCCTGGCTGCAGGACCACGTGTGGAGTGTACTTCTGCTCCCGCTGCTGCTGTCCCCTCCCTGTGGACAGACGTCGACTCGATTTCCCTTTTCACTGCTGGCCACAAAATGAAGAGCTTCCTGTGTCCTCCTCTTTTGCAGATGAGGGTATTTCTCTGGGGTATGTTCTTGGGATTGGAATGGTTGACTGAGAGACTCTGCGTGTTTAAATATTCTTAAGGCAGTGAAACATATAATGGATCATTTTAGCTTTTTTTTTTGAGACAGAGTCTCAGTCTGTCACCCAGGCTGGAGTCCAGTGGCATGATCTCGGCTCACTGCATCCTCTGCCTCCTGGATTGAAGCCATTCTACTGCCTCAGCCTCCCAAGTAGCTGGGATTACAGGTGCCGCCACCATGCTCGGCTAATTTTTTGTATTTTTAGTAGAGATGGGGTTTTACTATGTTGGCCAGACTGGTCTCGAACTCCTGACCTCTCGTTCCACCCACCTCAGCCTCCCAAGATGCTGGGATAATAGGCGTGAGCCTCCGCACCTGGCCACCATTTTAACTATTTTTCGCTGTAGCTGAGTGACATTAAGCATGTTAATACTGTGTGTGGCCATCACTGGCCGCTCGTGTCCAGAACTCTCTTCATTTTGCAAAACTGAACCACTGTACTCATTAAATACTCCCGATTCTCGTCCCCCAGCCCTGGCACCACCATTCCACTTTCTATCTCTGAATTTGACGACTCTAAGGACATGATACAAGCGGAATCATGTCTGTCCCGTGTCTGGCTTGTTTCACGTAGCATGCGTTTTCGAGGTTTATGCATGTTGTAGCATGTATCAGAGTTTCCTTCCTTTTTATCTTATATGCATTTCCTTTTTTTTTTTTTTTTTTTTCTTTTGAGACGGAGTTTTCGCTCTTGTTACCCAGGCTGGAGTGCAATGGCACGATCTCGGCTCACCGCAACCTCCGCCTCCTGGGTTCAGGCAATTCTCCTGCCTCAGCCTCCTGAGTAGCTGGGATTACAGGCACGCGCCACCATGCCCAGCTAATTTTTGTATTTTTAGTAGAGACGGGGTTTCACCATGTTGACCAGGATGGTCTCGATCTCTTGACCTCGTGACCCACCCACCTCGGCCTCCCAAAGTGCTGGGATTACAGGCTTGAGCCACCGCGCCCGGCGCATTTCCTTTTTTGAGACGGAGTCTTGCTCTGTCACCCAGGTTGGAGTGCAATGGCACAATCTCAGCTCACTGCAACCTCCACCTCCCGGGTTCAAGCGATTCTCCTGCCTCAGCCTCCCGAGTAGCTGGGATTGCAGGTGCCGCCACCACGTCCGGCTAATGATTTTGTACTTTAGTAGAGGTGGAGTTTCACTATGTTAGCCAGGGTGGTCTCAATCTCCTGACTTCATGATCCTTCCACGTCAGCCTTATAGAGTATTGGGATTACAGGCGTGAGCCACTGTGCCTGGCCAAGTTTTTTCATTTTCTGTATTGGCAGGGTCTTACTGTATTGCCCAGGCTGGTCTCAAACTCCTGGGCTCAAGCAGTCTTTTGGCTTCGGCTTCTCAACGGTGGCTCACTCTTCAGATTACAGGTGTGAGCCCCTTTGTTCAGCCTTCTTTCCTTTTTAAGGCTGAATAATACTCCACTGTATGGGTAAGACCACATTCTTTTCTTCATCCATCCATTGTGGGTTCTTTCTGCCTTTGGCTGTTTGAATAATTCTGTAGTGAACATGGATATGCAAATACCCTTTGAGACCCTGCTTTCAATTCTGTTTTTTAGTATCAACTTTTAATAATAGGTACCTCTTGGCCGGGTGCGGTGGCTCAAGCCTGTAATCCCAGCACTTTGGGAGGCCGAGGCTGGTGGATCACAAGGTCGAGAGATCGAGACCAACCTGGTCAACATGGTGAAACCCCATCTCTACTAAAAAATACAAAAAATTAGCTGGGCATGGTGGCGCGTGCCTGTAATCCCAGCTACTCAGGAGGCTGAGGCAGGAGAATTGCCTGAACCCAGGAGGCGGAGGTTGCGGTGAGCCGATATCGCGCCATTGCACTCCAGCCTGGGTAACAAGAGCGAAACTCCGTCTCAAAAAAAAAAAAAAATAGGTACCTCTTTATTAACTCATGAAATAACCAGACCTAGGGCCGGGCACCTGTAATCCCAGCACTTTGGGAGACCGAGGCAGCCAGATCATCTGAGGTCAGGAGTTCGAGACCAGCCTGGCCAACATGAAGAAACAGCATCTCTACTAAAAATACAAAAATTAGCCGGGCGTGGTGGTGGACACCTGTAATCCCAGGTACCTGGGAGGTTGAGGCAGGAGATATGCTGGAACCCGAGAGGCAGAGGTTACGGTGAGCCAAGATCGCGCCATTGCACTCCAGCCTGGACAACAAGAGTGAAACTCCGTCTCTAAACAATTAAAAATTTTTAAAAATAATAACCAGGTCGCCGGGCGCGGTGGCTCACGCCTGTAATCCCAGCACTTTGGAAGGCCAAGGCGGGTGGATCATGAGGTCAAGAGATCGAGACCATCCTGGTCAACATGGTGAAACCCCGTCTCTACTAAAAATACAAACCATTAGCTGGGCATGTGCCTGTAGTCCCAGCTACTAGGGAGGCTGAGGCAGGAGAATTGCCTGAGCCCAGGAGGCGGAGGTTGCGGTGAGCCGAGATCGTGCCATTGCACTCCAGCCTGGGTAACAAGAGCGAAACTCCGTCTCAAAAGAAACAATAAATAAATCAATAAATAATAAATAAAAATAATAATAATAACCAGGTCTAGCAGTAAGCCTAGTATCTATGTTAATTTGATGTAGTGATGAGGGCAAACGGTATTTCAAGGTATCGGCAGCAACTGCTAACAAGATATGAAAGTATATGTAGATTTTTGTTTTTTTTCCTTTTTTGAGACGGAATTTCACTCTTGTTGCCCAAGCCCACGTGCAGTGATTTCATCTTGGCTCACTGCAGCCTCTGCCTCCTGAGTTCAAGGGATTCTCCTGCCGCAGCCTCCTGAGTAGCTGGGATTACAGGTGTGCGCACCACGCCCGGCCAACTTGTGTATTTTTAGTAGACGGGGTTTCCCGTGGCCCGGCTCGTTGAAGCCTTGCGACCTCTGTCATTTGCCCACCTCTGCTTCCCACAGTGCGGGGATTGCCGGTGTGAGCCCTGCGCCCGGCCCCTCACCGTGGTTTCTGTTTGCATTTTCCTGTGACGGGTGACGTTCTGTCTCTTTCGTGTGCTTGTTGGCCATTTACAACCACATGTTGAAAACTTATCAGTGCAAAAAATAAAAACAGAAAGAAACAGCCAACGGGTGAGCGCGCAGTTCAGCCATCCCCAGAGGCGTTTCCAGAGCTGCCCCTGGTGTCGGCAGCTCTGCACGGTGACCGCGCGGGAGCAACGCTGGTGTTCGTGGATGATGGGCACGTGGAGAACACACCCCAATAGAGTGTCCTTTTGTTTCCCACACAGGACGTCCCGGCGATCGGGAGGAGTGGGAAGAGCTTCAGCTACAACCAGGACGTCGTGCTACTGCTTCTGACAGACGGAGTCCTGTTCCACCTTCAGAGTGTCACCGCCTACGCCCTCATGGGGAAGATCTCCCCTGTGACTTTCAGGTGAGCTGAGGAACTTGCCGGGAGGTTGGTGTGTAATACTGGGGTTCAGGGTGCCCTCAGCTCCCCTGAGAGGACGTTGCCCCGGGTTCCTGGCCTCCTGCCCTCTCAAGAATGAGAGAGGGGCCACGGCGCAGTGCACAGTAAATGCCAGACTCGAAAGTGTGTATGGAAAGTGATTTATTTTAAAGCAGAGAGAGAAAAAGGAGAAGGAGAAAGAGACAGCTAACTCTCACACTGAGTGGGAAGGGTTCCCAGAGGGGGAAAGCTCCTCTCAGGCTGAGTGAGAGAATCCGGAAGGATGGAATCCGGCAGGGGAAAGCAGCTTCCACACTGAGTGGAACAAACCACAGAGGGAGATGGAGTTTAGGAGGGAAGACAGGCTTCCACGAGAGAGTGTGGAAGGGGACCCCAGAGGGGAAGTCCAGGAGAGGGAAAGACGGCTTCACGAAGGGAGTGTTGGTGGAAGGGGACCCAAACATGGAGTCTGAAGGGCTGTGGAATCGGGGGACTTTTAACCTGGGAGGAACCCCCACCTTCTCTAAGACCCTGGGCCAATTAAAGGAGTTCCTTAGAACTTCTGCCGGAGTGAGTGACTCTTAGTTTCCTCCTGCACTGGCGAAATTCAAATATAAACTGTTAAATCTCCCAGACGGAGAGAGGTGGGAGGGGGCGTGGCACCGAGAAGTTCTTGACCTTAAAGTCCTCTGGCGAACCTGGAAAGAGAGCACATTCCCTCAAGTGTGTCCAGGTTTTTTTTTTTTTTTTTTTTTTTTTTTTTTTTTTTTTGAGACAGAGTTTCACTCTTGTTACCCAGGCTGGAGTGCAATGGCGCGATCTCGGCTCACCGCAACCTCCGCCTCCTGGGTTCAGGCAATTCTCCTGCCTCAGCCTCCTGAGTAGCTGGGATTACAGGCACGCGCCACCATGCCCAGCTAACTTTTTGTGTTTTTAGTAGAGACGGGGTTTCACCATGTTGACCAGGATGGTCTCGATCTCTTGACCTCGTGATCCACCCGCCTTGGCCTCCCAAAGTGCTGGGATTTACAGGCTTGAGCCACCGCGCCTGGCCTCCAAATTCTTAATTCTAGCCGAGTGTTTTAGTTTGAGCTTGAACAGACGCCTGTGGCCACTGGCTCCTGTTTCACAGAGTGCAGCTGTAGAAACTCAGGGCATGGGGCCTTCGACTTCTTTCCACTTCTGACTGGACAGGTTGAATGAAGGTGCCATTTTTCTTTAATTTATTGTTTTATTTTTTATTTTTTTCTGAGATGGAGTCTTGCTCTGTCTCCCAGAGCTGGAGTGCAACAGTGTGATCTTGTCTCACTGCAACCTCTGCCTCCCAGGTTCAGGTGATTCTCCCGCCTCAGCCTCCCAAGTAGCTGGGAGTCCAGGTGCAGTGGCTCACCCCTATAATCCCAGTACTTTGGGAGGCCAAGGCGGGCAGATGGGCTGAACTTGGAGTTAAGACCACCCTGGGCAACATGGTGAAACCCTGTCTTCACTAAAATACAAAAAATTAGCCCGGCGTGGTGGCGGGCACCTATAGTCCCAGCTGCTTGGGAGGCTGAGGTGAGATAATTGCTTGAACCCATGAGGCGGAGGTTGCAGTGAGCCAAGATCACGCCACTGCACTCCAGCCTGGGCTACAGAGTGAGACTCTGTCTCAAAAAAACAATAAGGTGGGAAACTTTGGTAGCAAATAAAAAGGAATGAGCTTATGTCACCAGCAGTTGTAGAAATCCAAGCAGCTGGAGTCAGCAGCTGCCCCCTCATATCCTATTGTGGAAGTCAGTGGACCTTTTTTCTGAAACTTCTCATCTGTCATGAGGAGGCAGAATTGTCCCCAAATGTAAAGGGGAAAGCAGACGTCAGGGCTGGTGGGGTGGGAGCACTCAGGTGTGGCTCTCCCTCTTCTCTGCTTTCTATCTGGTCCAAGTCAATGCGGTAAATTCGCAGATACCCATCCGAGGTCGTAGCTGTGCGCGGCACATGCGGTGTTCCATGGCTGAGGAGCGTGCCCCTCCTCACTGGCAGGCCCCGCAGGCCCCACACCAGGTCACCTCATCCATGGCACTGCCTTGCCACATGCTTCCTGAGTCCTCCGCAGGATGCATCTCAGAGATAGGAAGAATGGCTGTGCTTTCTGAGTTGTTCTGGAACTCGTGGTGGTCTCCTGGGCTTGGTCACTGTCTCTCACCAGCTTGTTTCTTCTGGGGCTCAGGTATTATTTCCAAATGCTCCTGAAACCTAGTGTTTTTTTTGTTTTTGAGACGGAGTTTCACTCTTGTTACCCAGGCTGGAGTGCAATGGCGCGATCTCGGCTCACTGCAACCTCCACCTCCTGGGCTCAGGCAATTCTCCTGCCTCAGCCTCCTGAGTAGCTGAGATTACAGGCACGTGCCACCATGCCCAGCTAATGTTTTGTATTTTTAGTAGAGACGGGGTTTCACCATGTTGACCAGGATGGTCTCGATCTCTTGACCTCGTGATCCACCCGCCTCAGCCTCCGAAAGCGCTGGGATTACAGGCTTGAGCCACTGCGCCCGGCCGAAACCTAGTGTTTTAATGAACATTAGTGATTGTTAGCGATGGTTCAAAATAAGAAAACTTTTTTGAGATAGGGTCTTGCTTTGTCACCCAGGCTGGAATGCGGTGGCGCCATCTCGGCTCACTGTAACCTCTGTCTCCTGGCCAAGTGATCCTCCCGCCTCAGACTCCTGAGTAGCTGGGATAACAGATGTCTGCCACCACACCAGGCTAATTCTTGTAAATTTTTTTTTGAGAGGTGGGATCTTGCTATGTTGTTCAGGCTGGTCTTGGACTCCTGGCCTCTAGTGATCCACCCACCTTTGGCCTCCCAAAGTGCTGGGACGACAGGTATGAGCCACCACACCCAGCCCAATTATTTTTCAGTAGTATTTTTTTGTTTTATCTAAGTTCACACTGTGAGAGCCACAAGTGCTTATTATGGAAAGTCTGCGAAGGGTGTTTCACGGCACCTTTATTTTTGCACAACCCTAATATTCTCTATGTGGTCCCCTTTTTCACCTAACTGGTGATGTCAGGGGATTGATGTTCCCGGGGCTGCAAAGGCGCTGCGGGTGTGTGGCAGATGTTCTCGTTCTTAAGAAAGCTGGCTGCAGTACTCAGGGTAAAATGCCACGATATCTTTTTCTTTTCTTTTCTTTTCTTTCTTTTTTTTTTTTTTGAGAGAGTCTCGCTTTGTAGTTCAGGCTGGAGTGTAGTGGCATGATCTCGGCTTACTGCAACCTCTACCTCCCGGGTTCAAGCAGTTCCTCTGACAGAGCCTCCTGAGTAGCTGGGACTACAGGTGCGTGCTACCACACCCAACTAATTTTTTAGTAGTTTTAGTAGAGATGGGGTTTCACCACGTTGGCTAGGCTGATCTTGAACTCCTGACCTTGTGATCCACCCACCTCGACCTCCCAAAGTGCTAGGATTACAGGTGTGCGCCACCGCGCTCAGCCAGTATCTTTTTCTTGTTCTTTAGCAAGCAGGCTGAAGCACTGGGGTGAAATGTCACAATATCTGTAAATTACTTAAAAATATTTCATCCGGCCGGGCGCGGTGGCTCAAGCCTGTAATCCCAGCACTTTGGGAGGCCGAGGCGGGTGGATCACAAGGTCAAGAGATCGAGACCATCCTGGTCAACATGGTGAAACCCCGTCTCTACTAAAAATACAAAAAAAATAGCTGGGCATGGTGGTGCATGCCTGTAATCCCAGCTACTCAGGAGGCTGAGGCAGGAGAATTGCCTGAACCCAGGAGGCGGAGGTTGCGGTGAGCCGAGATCGCACCATTGCACTCCGGCCTGGGTAACAAGAGCGAAACTCCGTCTCAAAAAAAAAAAAAAAAATATTTCATCCGGGGCCGGGCGCGGTGGCTCAAGCCTGTAATCCCAGCACTTTGGGAGGCCGAGGCGGGCGGATCACGAGGTCGAGAGATCAAGACCATCTGGTCAAATGGTGAAACCCCGTCTCTACTAAAAATACAAAAAATTAGCTGGGCATGGTGGCACGTGCCTGTAATCCCAGCTACTCGGGAGGCTGAGGCAGGAGAATTGCCTGAACCCAGGAGGTGGAGGTTGCGGTGAGCCCAGATCGCGCCATTGCACTCCAGCCTAGGTAACAAGAACGAAACTCTGTCTCAAAAAAAAAAAAAAAAAAAAAAAATTTCATCCGGGTGCAGTGCCTCACACCTGTGATCCCAGCACTGTGGGTGGCCAAGGTGAGAAGTTCCCTTGAGCCCAGGAGTTCATGACCAGCCTGGGCAGCATAGTGAGACCCACCTCAATTGGATGAAGCTGATGAGGCGGATGTTATGGACTCCTGCATCTAGATCATGGGACTTGGCTATTCCTCAGGTTTTTCTTCCTCTGACTTTTTTAGTAATGAAAAGTACCCCGCAAAAAAAGGGACGAGGGAGCAGGCAAGCCCCCCTCAAAGTTCCCAAACCCCCTGGGCAGAGCTCACCACCACCCAGGGCCCCCAGAGCACCCCAGCCTCTAGACCCAGGCTCAGCCAAGCTGCTGGCTGCCAGCCAAGGTAGCCCTGACCTTGAGCTCCCCGGCCGCCCCCCCCCCCGTCTCTGCAGCGTCGCCAGCACCGTGAAGCATGCCCTGTCCATTTGGCTCAGCGTGATCGTTTTCGGCAACAAGATCACCAGCTTGTCGGCCGTCGGCACAGCCCTGGTGACGGTTGGGGTCCTGCTCTACAACAAGGCCAGGCAGCACCAGCAGGAGGCACTGCAGAGCCTGGCTGCAGCCACCGGCCGGGCGTCCGAGGACCCCGGGGAGCCGCTGCTTACGCAGGACCCCAGGCAGCACCCCTGAGTGCAGGACGCCGCATCCCTGGCAACGGGCGGGGACGCCCTCTTCCACGGCCCTGCTGCAGGACACGGGGAGCTGGGTTGGGCCTTTACTGCTCCTTTCTCGGTTTTCCGATGGAGACCAGCAGAAATGCAAATGAGCTTCCAGGTATCAGCTTCCTGGAGTGGAAAGCAGAGCCCGCGCCAGCCAAGCCCATACCCGTGTAATGTGAAACAGCCTCTGCGGCTCCCATGCTGGGCACGGTGCCCATGTCCTCTGTGGGCAGCACCCAGGGTCCACCGGGAACCAGAGCTGGGTCCAGTGCCAACAAGAGCCGCTTTCTGCCAGAGCCGAGAGAGCACTCAGCTTCCCCACCAGCCTTCAAAGGCCCTGAGGCCCTGGACTGGCTGCAGACTGGCTCTGGGCACGAGGGCACAGAGCAGGGCTGACGGGATCGGACAGAAGGGTCTCCTGCTGCCACCGCAGGTGCTCAGAGCTTCACCCCACTTGGCTCAGACTGTCCCAGAGGCATCGCAAGCCCCAGGCTCTGGCGTCGCAGCCCCAGGCTATGATGGGACTCAAGGGCCATGACCAAGGAGGCCTTTCAGTTACTTTGTGAAGAGGAAAGTCCTCTACCCCTTCCACACCCTGGGCTGTGTGAGCACCCCCCCGCCCCAGGGCGTCGTGCCCATCACCTTCCACACCCTGGGCTGCATGAGACCCCCTCCTTTGGGGCGCCCTGCCCATCACCTTCCACACCCTGGGCTGTGTGAGCCCCCCCCTGCCCCAGGGCGCCCTGCCCATCACCTTCCACACCCTGGGCTGTGTGAGCCCCCCCCCCGCCCCAGGGCGTCGTGCTCTCCTACCTGTGGTGGTTTTCAGCCCTGAGATTGAGGACAAACCCCTCGTGTTTAGGGGAGGAGATGTGTACATTCCTTTTCTTTTTTGGACTCGGTATCAGGCAGGCTGTTCTGAGGTCCCTGTGGGGTGTGCCTGGCCTCTCTGGGAGCCCCCTGCTCCCAGCCTCGTCCTCGAGTCCCTGTTCAGTTCCCACGTGAGCACTTGGCCAGGACGTGGCCGTGTTGATGGTTTGGGCTGTGTGGCGTTTACACAGACTGGGTCCTCACTGAATGTTTCTGGGCACATTGTGTGTCAAGTGCCCACCCCCCAGCCCACTCTCCCCGAGGGACCGCGGCCCTGCAAGGCCGGCTAGCAGCCAGCTGGGCTCCTCCTTCCTCCACAGCGTCACGTGCCCCAAGGGCACAGGAGGAGCCGCGTATCAGGCAGAGGCTTCGGACCTTGCCTGAGCTCTTCACCCTCATCTCGCGCCCGGCGCGTTTCTCAGCTGGTGCAGTCTGCTGCCAGCCAGCTCCAGGGCTTGTCAGTGGCCCCACGTCTCACTTTCCTGCCCTGCTCCTCAGCTCTCTGGCACCCGTGGTCACTTCCCTGCCCTGCTTTTCAGGTCTCTGGCACCCATGGTCACTTCACTGGTTTTCCATTTGGCTTCTCACCTGGAAAATATAAAGAGCCCCTCTTGAAGATAAAATCGTCCAGAAACAGAGCAATAATGATGACTCATAACTTCTACCTACTCAAAGTCTGCCGTGATGATGGGTCTTTTTAACCCACAAGCAACCTTTTTATTTTTTTGAGACAGTCGTGCTCTGTCACCGAGGCTGGAGTATAGTGGCATGATCTTGGCTCAATGCAGCCTCGACCTCCTAGGCCCAAGCGGTCCTGCCACTTCAGTCTCATGTAGGTGGAACCACGGGCACATGCCACCGTGCCTGGCTAATTTTTTAATTTTTTTGTAGATGGGGATCTCACTGCTCAGGCTGGTCTTGAACTGGGCTCAAGCACTCTTTCCGACTCAGCCTCCCATAGTGTTGGGAATACAGACATGTACCACTGCATCTGCCTCCAGCCACATTTATAAAACCACTGACCTGGGTCTGGAGGACAGGCTGGTGTGTACCCACTGCACCCTGAAGACATTGTCTCATGTGACTTTCCCTGGGATTCCATTTCTCTTTTTTCTCTTTCCTCAAAAGCTAATGGAAAGAAAATGCCCTGGAGGTGGCATGGGTGGGGTTGGTGATCTGTGAGCACCAGAATTGAAAGCAACCCCCAGGGTGGCCCTGTCCCCGGTAGAGAATGTGGCTGCTAGGTTTCCCACTGGCCTCTTGGAGTGCGGGTCTGGTGTGAGGAGAGGTGCAGGGGCACCTGGTTCTGAGCACCTTTGGAGTTTCCGGCACACATTTCCCCACACGGGAAAACTTGAAAATTCATTAACAATCTTCTATTTTCTTCTATTTTGGAATAAATCTTCCTTTATTCCAAACTATGGAGAACTAAATACATCACCCCTCCACCCTCACAGGGAGCTTCCAGCCCGTTTTGATTTTCTGTTTGTGGACCAAATGTTTTTCCAAATGATTAACAAATAGGGTGATTTCCTGTGTAACGCTGGTCTGGGGCCTCTTCCTCATCCTGGCAGAAGGAGCCTGGAGCCCGTGCGGTGGCCAGCACTACGCCCTTACCCAGGCGCACCGTCCCCTGCCTCTCCACGCCCAAGTCACTCTCCACTCACCAGTCTTCAAGACATTCCCAGAACGGCCCAGCACCAGAGGCAAAACCCGAGGCCTGGCTGGGCCATATTCATGACTGTACAGACACAGTTTTTAAATCACTTTGTCTAATACTTTTATAGAATAGTAAGTTCTTGTTGAATGGTCACAGACGTGCTTAACAGAAACACTGGCACTGCATGTCGTGACTGCCATTGCGTGTGTCCATGGTCACTGTCCGTGCCTTTGTAAACACACACAACTCTTGAACCACCTCCTGGACTGGGTCATCTGCTTACCTGCATCGATACTTACAGATGTGCAGCTCTCTGGCTTTCAAGGAAACTTCCCCTACTGAATGGCATAAAAAGATTTTGAAAATCCGACAGTCACAATTCCCTGTATAACAGTTTGTTTGTTTGTTTGTTTGTTTTTTGAGACAGGGTTTCACCATGTTACTTAGGCTGGTCTTGAACTCCTGACTTCAGGTGATCCGCCCGCCTCGGCCTCCCAAAGTGCTGGGATTACAGGCGTGAGCTGCCGCGCCCAGCCAGCATAACAGTATTAAAATAACCTGCCGGCTTGGAAACAGGAGAACACTTGCACAACCCAAAATGTGTAATTTGTGAAAAATTAACATGCTGAGTCAGAGGTGGTCATCTTAGAAAGCTGTACAGAGAGTATCAGCCAAATAGAACTCTGCTTTGTACATTCCTTTTCTTTTTTGCTTTGTAGTGTGCCTTTAAAATCCTTGCCACAGGCCGGGCGCGGTGGCTCAAGCCTGTAATCCCAGCACTTTGGGAGGCCGAGGCGGGTGGATCACGAGGTCAAGAGATCCAGACCATCCTGGTCAACATGGTGAAACCCCATCTCTACTAAAAATACAAAAAATTAGCTGGGCATGGTGGCGCGTGCCTGTAACCCCAGCTACTCGGGAGGCTGAGGCAGGAGAATCGCCTGAACCCAGGAGACGGAGGTTGCGGTGAGCCGAGATCGCGCCATTGCACTCCAGCCTGGGCAACAAAAGTGAAACTCTGTCTCAAAAAATAATAATAATAATAAATAAAATCCTTGCCACAAAACCAGTGAGCTCTGCTTGCTGCTGCCACGCTCCCAGAGGATCACTTAGGTGGGTCAGTGGGAGTAACAGGAACAAGACAGCTTTTGCCATCTGTCGAAATGATGTCCTGAGGCCTGAAAGTATTTCACTGTTGGAAGCAGGGAGAACGTCATTACAGATAGACTTCTCTTTTGCCTTGACCAACATTGTACTAGGGGCATTATTCTTTCCCAACATACATACACACACTGCTAGGGGCCTTACTTCATAGAAGGAGAGTGTCCCAGCTCCCTGATAAATCTGGCTAGTTCTTCGTGTCCTGGCTAAGGGTGCAAGAGTGGGTCATCTACTCTCAGAGCCCAGAAACCTGCAGCTTTGCTGAAGTATTTCTTCCATTTTCCCTGTGCGCCGTCTATGTCAGTTTGATGACTGCTGGATCCTTGTTCGTGGAAACTCAGTTGGAAACTGTTCCAACTAGCAAAGTCCCCTTTTCTGTCACATTTCATTTGTGTTTCAGCTAAAAGTGGCATTCAGCTGACTTGCTTTTTCAGACTGACTGCAGATGTGAGAGTTTTGACCTGCCCACGTGGTGTTGGGAGGCGCCACCCTGAAAAGGGACAGTCAGGGCAACGTTCCCCACATGGGAAAACTTGAAAATTCGTTAACAATCTTCTATGTCAGAGCGAAATTCTATTTCCTTTATTCCAAACTATGGAGAACTAAAAGTACATCATATGTTTATTGTGTTTTGTATGTGACCCATTTCGGTATTTCTATTACTGGACTAGTGCTTTCTAGCAAATGGTTCTGTTAGCTTAGGGAGTCACTGGTTAATTCTGCTGTGGTGATGGGTTGATACTGTGTAACTAATCCTGTGGATGCCTCGTTATTTTTGTCTAAGCAGCCATGGTAGCCGCTATGATTTTTCCTCAGCAAAGTAAAATAAATGTTAAATACGGACTGCTTTGTTTTCTTCCTTCTGTGACTCTGGTGTTTATGCTACTGAAATGATGAAGGCTGGCTTCTTATTGCCTACACCAGCTTCTAGCAACCTAAAATGAGCAAGAGAAACCAATTCGCAAAAACAAGACGCTGTTTGCGAACAGCAAAGGATTGCAATCCAGGGTTCATCCACAGGCTCGTCTCAGGGGCTGGGACAAGGGCAGCCTTCTGCAGGCAGAAGGAAGTCTGCGTTAGCTGTCCTGACACAGACATCAGCGGCAACAGGAGCCTGTGCGGTGGTGGCCTCTGCTAACTGGTGGGGCTGGCTGTTGCTCACGGAGGGTCTTCACAGAAGGCTTAACCCAAACTTCTGGTTGGGAAAGGCCTTTGTGGCAGCTCCCATTAAAAGTGCAAGGCCACCCCCTCCTCCTGGCCTCCAGCGTCGATTTTCTTAGGGTTTGACATAAATGGCTGCATTTGGGTGCTCACAGATTTCACAAAGGAAGGGTAAAATGGAGAGTTTCAACCGGGTGCAGTGGCTCATGATTGTAATTCCAAAAATTTGGGAGACCGGCAGGAAGATCACCTGAGGTCAGGAGTTCAAGACCAGCGTGCCCAACATCTTGAAACCCCATCTCTACTGAAAATACAAAAATTAGCCAGGTGTGGTGGTGCATGCCTGTAGTCCCAGCTACTAGGGAGACTGAGGCAGGAGATTCGCTTGAACCTGGGAGGCGGAGGTTACAGTTACCTGATATCATGCCACTGTACTCCAGCCTGGGTGACAGAACAAGACTTCTCTTTAAAAATAAATAAATAGGGCCGGGCGCAGTGGCTCAAGCCTGTAATCCCAGCACTTTGGGAGGCCGAGGCGGGTGGATCACGAGGTCGAGAGATCGAGACCATCCTGGTCAAAATGGTGAAACCCCGTCTCTACTAAAAATACAAAAAAATAGCTGGGCATGGTGGCACGTGCCTGTAATCCCAGCTACTCAGGAGGCTGAGGCAGGAGGATTGCCTGAACCCAGGAGGCGGAGGTTGCGGTGAGCCGAGATCGCGCCATTGCACTCCAGCCTGGGTAACAAGAGCAAAACTCCGTCTCAAAAAAAAAAAAAATAAAAATAAATAAATAAATAAATAAATAAATAAATAGGCCGGGCGCGGTGGCTCAAGCCTGTAATCCCAGCACTTTGGGAGGCCGAGGCGGGTGGATCACGAGGTCGAGAGATCGAGACCATCTTGGTCAACATGGTGAAACCCCGTCTCTACTAAAAATACAAAAAACTAGCTGGGCGTGGTGGCGCGTGCCTGTAATCCCAGCTACTTAGGAGGCTGAGGCAGGAGAATTGCCTGAACCCAGGAGGCGGAGGTTGCGGTGAGCCGAGACCGCGCCATTGCACTCCAGCCTGGGTAACAAGAGCGAAACTCCGTCTCAAAAAAAATAAATAAATAAATAAATAAATAAATAAATAAATAAATAATAGATTTCCCCAATTACTGAGAACTCAGGAAGCAACATGAGAGCTTGGATACACAAAACAAGCATTTCCTTCCAGGATGAAAAAAATTCCCATACCCATCGCCCTTCTTGTGCCCTAGTCAATTTCTTCTCCCATTTTACATTTTCCCATTTCAGGCCCAGTGAATACAGATGTGTCTCTCCCATGGTCTCCGTCCTGAGATTCAGGATGTGACTTTTCAAGTCAAGAAGATAACCTGACATATGAAAAGGGAATTAGTCGTTTTGTCCACCTCTCCTGGAAGGTTCTAATTCCATAGGTTTGGAGTGGGGCCCTGGGAGTTAGGGGTTGGCACCTTACCCAGTTTGTCTGCACAAGCACTGTCAGCTTTAAAATCACATGGTAAAAGGCCAGGCATGGTGGCTCACGCCTGTAATCCCAAAACTTTGGGAGGCCAAGGTGGGCGGATCACGAGGTCAGGAGTTCGAGACCAGCCTGACCAATACGGAA